TCCTGGCCTCTTTCCTTTACTGCGCCCCAATGCCTCTGGCTGCCCAGTGTCTTTCTCCATCTATTACCATCTTTCTCCAGAACTTCCTTTTCACACTTTGGGCTCCCCTTCCATCCAGGGTCAGTACTGGATAAATGGGAAATTCCAATGGTGTGGCAGGAAAACTAGGAAGTGGTATGATTATTCACCAAAGGGTTATATGCTTACAAGGTATTTAAAAGTATCCAATTAATAGAGCATGCTTTTGCTTTTTGAGGGAGGAAGGGTGCAATGGAGGAGAAGAGTGAGTAGGAAGGTCAACTTAACTTTAAAATTCCTTGGTCTGTTGGTAATTCTCAAATCTGACTGTGTATCAGAATCACCCAAAGAGCTTTTAAAAATGCAGAGTTTACCCAGACCAGACCAGAGAATCAGGACCCCTGGCATTGGACTGCAGGGATCTGAATCACTGCAAAGTTCTAGAGAACTTCTGACATTTGCCCCATAAAATCTGAACTGAAAAGGGAGGATCTATCAAATCTGAATAAAGGCTACCTCCACCCTTACGGGCACTATTATAACACGGTATGCTACAAACAGTATAAGCAGAGCAAGGACATTTATTCAATTAAATTCCACATGTACTAACAAACTGGACACTTTAAAAATATCCCACTGGCATTTTATCATATCCCAATCATACCTCAGTAACACTGTAAAATTTTTAAGTTCCAAATGAAAAAACATAAATAAAATCTGTGGCATCTTTTTAAAAACTTTCCTTGTATTTCTAGGTGCTAGATGCTGAGTATACAAAGGCAGAAACACTAAGCTTTGACAGCTGAGGGACAAAAGGCACCTAAACATACACATTCTTACATGTACATATGAACAGTCACCAAGTACTCACTACAAGGCCCTCTTCTAACTTTCACGTGTCAATTAATTCAATCCTCATAACCCTTTGTGTAGGTACAATTATTACTGCATTTTAAGACACAGAGAGATTAAGTAACCAGACCAAAGTTACAAAACTAATGAAGTGAGGGACAGACCAAAATTTAAATCCAAACTCTATCACTTGATGCATTAGTCTCCTTAGGCTGTCACAATACCACAGAAAACCATTAACAAAATACCACAGGCTGAGTGGCTTAAACAATGGAAATTAATTTTCTCACAGTTCTAGAAGGTAGAAGTCCAAGGTCAAGGTGTCAGGAGGTCTGGCTTCTCCTTGAGGCCCATGCCCATGACTTATGGTGCCTACTTGCTGCGTCCACACTTCGCCTTTCCCCTGTGAGCACATCCCAGGTGTCTCTTTTTCTTCTCATAAGACACCTGTCATACTGAACCAGGGCCCATGGTAACGATCTCATTTTAATTTAATCACCCTTTTAAGACTTTACCTCCAAATACGTTTACATTTGGAGCTACTGGAGGTTGGACCTTCAACATGAATTTTGGTCGGATGCCCTTCAATCCGTAACACTTGGTGTCTGCGCAATCTCAAGAAAGTAATTGACTTTCTAGGCCTCGGTTTCTTCAAATGTAGAATAGTGCTACTGAGAATCAAATGAGAAAATTCATGTAAAATGTTTGGTAGAATGTCTGGCAGAGTATCATCATCATATAGATGAGAAAAACAAAATTTAAGAGTGATGGCGACTTGCCCTGTTTCCATCTCTAAAGTGGAATTCTCACACTACACAACACTACTTTTCTGTACAATTAAATGAACAGTCTATGAAAATTTTACATAACTTATAAACTTTTCTACATCTCTTACTTCCTGTTTTCTTGTAGTATTTTTCTTACTTTCTTACATACAAGAGAACACAAGAAGGGGAAGCTCAAATTAATAAAAATTTTGTTAAGGAAATGCACCACCTTCTTGGGATTCTTTGTGAATTATATTAACCTTTTCTCCCAATTTGCAAAGACAATTGCCTATAGTCACATAATGACGATGCTGCATAAGATCAGTACCTGTTTTAACTATTAGGAAAGAAAAGCAATTCAATGCTTTTAAAAAGCATTGCCTAGTACTCTACAACAGGCAATTAATCCTTAACACAATCACATGACATTTTAGTTAGCTCTATAACAATCATGAGAAGATATTATTCCCATTTTATAGCTGAGGAAACAGATGATATTTTATTTAGTTCTAAAACAATCATAAGAAGAAGATATTATTCCCATTTTATAGCTGGGTGAACAGGAGGAGCACAGCAAAGTTAAATGTCACAAAGCTTGACAATAACTGATAGAGCCAGAACTCTCACTGACATCTTTGAGTCTAAGGCCAAGATACTCCACTGAGGCCACCACCTCTACCGTGGCAAGGTGCAAGGCCTGGTCTTCTCGATCTTCATGCTTGCCACCAATAGAGCAGGTGCCCAGCAAGTAAGGCTGCAAGGAATCTTCTACATCCTTTGTATAGGTCAGTTTCCTGACGACATTGACCATCACCAATGGCTTGGGCTGAGAGCTCTTTTAAGGCAACAACCAAAGTTCCCTTCCTCCCCAGTGTTTAGCATACTCATGGGTACTCATTTAAGTTCAGCAGATATTTGAGAGAGTTCAAGTAAATATCTGCTGTATGATAAAATCATAGCAAATTCTTCCTTTAGTGATGACAGCCACCACCATGTAAAAACATCAACAAAATGAAGCGTGTATTAAAAAAAACTTCTGTCTCTCATGGCCTACAACAGGGAAGCCTAGGGGGTTTTCCCAAGCCCAAAAGCCTATGATTCCATGGCCACATATTCTTGACAGGTGACTAAACTGACCACCCTGAGCACCAATTACGTGCACAATGCCACTAGATTCACCAGTTCAGAGCCACCAGTGTTCTTAGCCTGCCGTATGCTTCCAGGAAAGTGACAGTTCTGTGTATGTGACAGGGCAGTTCACAAGTCCCCGAGGGAACTGTAACAGATGATAAGGTGGGTCTGAGTTGCCGTGGAACCACTGTTTGCCAAGGCCTCTGTGCCCTAAAAAAGAGTTACATTAAGATAAATCGTGCTAACTTGTATTTTCTCAAGAATGCACTGCTGTTCCGATGTCTTTTTTTTTTCTTCTTAACTTCAGGTTTGTTTTGCCATGAGCAGCCAGGCAAGTTCTGACCCTGCCATGGAAACGATCTGGCCACTTCTGAGCTGCTCTGTTCACAGGGAAGGGAGCGGGCAGAGCTGGCCAGACCATGTCTGAACTCTGCCCTCGCTCTTCTGTAACTTCAGGGATGCGTGGATGTCCGCCTCCTTCATTTCGTTGCTTTTGTGTACCCTGTTGTCAACTGGCTATCACCTCCCTGGCTACCTGTTTCCCAGAGCTGTTGCAGCAGATGAGAAAACATTTTGAGCTCCCAGAGAAAGCATTCACTAAAAAACTGAAAGGACAAACTATTGCCAGCATAGCACTTCCTGTCCTAATCAACCTTTTCCAAGTACTCTGAGATCTGAAGTAAACAAATTCACTAGGAAAGTAAAGAGTTACCCCAGGCTATCTTTTCTAAATCAAGGTATCCCACAAATACTCTTTTACAATGCCTTCATCAAGAGAGAAAATTTCAGGAAAAAAAAAATACAGAGGCATACAAATGGAATAATTCTGAAAATAGCTGAATTAAATTTTTTTTAATTTATCCACTCATCACTGTAATAAAAACTTATTAAATAGATGCAATACACAAGGTACTAGCTAGATGCTGTAAGGATACAGAATTTTGTAAGAAATGTCCATACATGCTCCTTTACTGCCCTTTCATCTTAAAATGAAACTTTTGTTTAGATTTCCTTCCCAAATAAACAAAGATTTCAAGTTTCCCTAGGACATGGAAGAACAAATTTTTTTCCCCTGTTATTACTTTGTGGCTTCACAGAAAAACTTCAGAACACACTGGGGAAGAAACTAATTTATCTCTTAGTTTCCACCGACAAACAGCAGCTTTCTCAAGAGCAAGTGAGCTACAGAATGACTTTAACTTCCACAATGACCTGATTAAATCTGACAGGCACAGGACAGGGGGTAGAAAGGAACCTACGTGACCTTCAATTTCAATAAGAAAAGTTGAACATATTGTCAGAGAAAGCAGGAAGAAGATGAAGATCATGTGGTTTGGAAAGAAGATGAAGAATGATAGTACAGGAATATTCCCAGTACAGTGCATAATGTGCATCCAAATAACAGCAAGTCACTTGGGATTCCTTGAATGTCCTGCCATATTAAATCACGTAGTATACAATGAAAGTAAAGTTAAGGCCTTTCTCATGCTTCACTTCTGCTACTGGGTGAGCTTGAGAAAGAGAATTAAGACAGCCTTTTCAAAGTTTTCAATCAAACACAGAAATTGTAGCATGGACATTTAAGGAAATGAGTCCATGAGGCAGGGTAAAAGGCTTGTTTAGCAATTAGCCATTGTCCTTATCCAATTAATTTAAAACCGAAAGCCCCAAATTTCCTTAAAGCTTTACTAGTATTAGTTTGCTGGAACTGAGTGTTCCAATGTATAAATGCTTTGTGTGTGTTTACTTTTCTCTCTAGATTTATGGCGAAACTGTTCTCAAAAATAGAATAAACTTCTTAATATCTGCTTCATTCGCTTTTAACATTGTATTTTCCCAAAGCCACAGAAATGATGTTCTTTAGCAAATGAAATAAAGGAAATGCTGAGAACCAGCTCTCCTGTCCAAGGATGGGGAAATAAAAAGGGTGTGCACTCCACGGCAAACGGGGCATGCTCATGATACAGTTAAGACCACACTAAAGAAATCTACAGCATCAAATGAAATTTGTAGTTACAGTTCTGATCAAGCCGAACCATCTTTTGAGACAGCCAATCACAAACAAGACGGCTGTATTTGGAATCCAGACAGCAAGAACAGGCAGCCTCGTCACAGCAATGGAAAATGATTCTCAGCCAGCTCTATGTCCCATGGTGTAATCTCACATGTAGCACAGCAAGAATTCTTAGTTATCCATTTTTTTCCTTAAAAATGAAAAGTAGATCAACTTACATGGCTCTCTGGCAATGAACTGAGGTACAGTGTTGGGCAGAGGAGTACTGGGATTTGGAGTCCCTACTAGTTTGTTCTTGGCCATCTTCGTGTTTGCCTTAGCAAACTCTAGTCGTAGTGTTTGCGGAATTTCAGGATCGAAGCGGATGCCCTTCGGAAATAAAGAACAAATGGAAGATATTTTCATTTCCGTAGAATCAAACCGGAATGGTGACAAAATAAACACTCCAGTAAACCCTGGTCTATCCGAAAAAGGAAGAAAAAAGTCACTAAGAACTTTCATTCTCACATCTTGCAAAAAATACATGAAAAACCATTAACACAACATGTCCAGAAAGTTAGGGAGATTAACTTAATTTTTAGTTACGTGGGTTTTCAACTTTTTCTCATGACTTTTCTTCTTGGACAAAAATCTTTCAAGTTAAAGTTTTACACTTAGACCAGCAAATTATGAGCATAGTTAAAAACTTCAGTTAATGGCTACCAATAAAAGTAAATGGATTAATGTAAAGCTCTGTGCAATACTATAAAGTCCAAAAAAGCCCAAGCTTGACCAGCATTATGACACTGGCTTAAAACAATGTAATTCTTTAATGCCAAAGTTTTCATCAGCAACAGGGCAGGGAACACTCCCATCCCTTTCTAACTGGAAAGCTTTTGTAACAGTGATACATGCACTATGAAGTTACTAAGAAGGCAGACACTCAAGTTTTAAGATTTCAATGTAACAAGTATCCTTTAATTCCAAGTAGCTTATAAATTTATATAAAATCTAAATGTCTCCATGTGGTTAAGCTCTGATCTTGATAATGGCTGGCTTATTAGCTACACAGAGAAACAATAGGTTATATAGCCCGAGAGAGGATGGTCATTTCAAGTACCCTTGACCTTATTATTGCAGTTTACCTAAAACAAAAACATTCAATGACATAAATCACAAACACTATAAAATACAAGATTTAGGGCAAGATAAGTCAGTGTACTTTGAAACCCACTGTTCAAGAAAGCCTCCATCGCTAAGCACTGCAAACCATCTCATTATATCTATGTCTGATAACATGGATTCTGAACCCAAACCATAGCAACAAAAGATATCCCAGTACAGTGCATAAATGTGCATCCAAATCAGATTTAGGGCCCATGTTTGTATGTGTATGCTCTGGAAAAGAAGTAAAATTCTGAAAATGACTATCCTAAAGAACAGAGGTAGGCCTGTGGGCACCAAACCCCTTTTCTTATTCTCAATTAATTTAAAGAAAAGCAAGAGCAATTTCCTCAAGAAATTGGTTAGAACCTCTGACTCCGCAGATGAGGATGAACAACTGAACTTCACAGGCGCAGCTCCACAGATGGGAGGAAGAGCCTGTGACTGGATGGTAACCACAGTAAGTGGGGGAGGGGGAGGACAGAGAGGCCCTCGGGGAGGCACAGCAGAAGCCGCAGGCGCCCCTGAGAGAGTGGAAGTGCTTAGGAGCCTGATCGGAGCCTCTCTAAGAAACCCACTGCCATGGCAGACAGGCAGGGTGGGCAGGAAGGAAAGGACTCTACAGCCCTAACCAACAACAAAAAGTGAAAAGGGGGTTCCAGTTTTATGAAATGAGAAGGAAGTTCTTTAAGTGGTCTCAGTTTTTAATTTCTTAGTATTATATTGCCAAAAACATATATAAGGAAAAAGAACAAAGCAAAATTCTGGAGTAGTGATTGCTTCCGTCCACTCAAGAACATTTTACTCCATCAAAGCTAATGTCCCAACAGAATAAATATTTCTAAATATGGACCTGAAGAGCCGCCGTCCTCGCTGGGAGGCAAGCGCAGCCCCGGCGGCCGCTTGAAGGTGGCTGTGGCAGGACCGCATATCCCCTCCCCACTCCCTCAGGCACACGCAACACAACTTGCCGTCCATTTCAGGGTGTCCTCCATGGCACTAAACTGCATCAATCGTTTTGTGAAAAAGCAATTTTTCTACACCTGAGTCCACATCAACCCAGGCCCACTGTAACATGGTAAGAAATCCCGGGCCCTGTCCGTAGTCCCCTGGAGCTTCCGGCCTCAGATGACAAGGCTGCACCTCTGAATCTGTCTCCGCCTTGGCTCCGGTGTGTCAGAGGGCGCTTGCCTCTTCCACAACCTGGGCTGGTGGCTCAGGTCCTAAATCAGGGTAAGGGGAATCTCCCCCACTCCCCATCCACCTCTCTATAACCCCTGCCAACATTTGCACTAAAATAACACCATCATCGTGTTCCAAATCAAAGTTCCAGCTCCTTATTTAAAAAAAAAAAAAAAAAAAAGCTAAGTTAAAATGACCTAATTTGTTTGGCAGCTTATTCAGAGGCTGGAGGCTTAGAATACAAGCCACATTCCTCTAACATCTTTAGCAGCAATACCATATTTGGTAATCAATATCCTGCTCGGCTCAGTTTCTATCCATAGGGATTAGACAAGTCCAAAACATTTTAAATGCTAAAGGAAGACAGAAGAGGAGGTAGAGGGGGATGGGGCAGGGAAAACAGAGAAGTGAAGAGGAAGAAAAAGAGAAAGAAGAAAAGGAGAGAGAGGGATAAGGAGGAAACATGAAAAAAATACCTTGTGCTTTTAATTAAAGCCTAATAAGATTATTTTCTGGCCACAGTGACTTCACATTAATTGCTGTCAGGATAAGATTACCGCGGAGTCAAAGGGGAAATCTGTGACTTTCAATATCAACTCTTTACTCTCTTGCCTATAATTCATCTAAACCCTTCTCATAGTGAACTGAAACTTTTACGTTTGTACATGTTGTCTTATTTACATGGTGAGTAGAAAGGACGGTTTCTGGATATCAATATGATATCAATTTGAGAATAAAGTCACTTAGAAAAAGCCCAACCTGACTGGCTGCAGGGACAGCCAACAGTTTCTTCAAGATGGCCCAGAATATTGTGACCAAAGCAACAGAGCTTCACTATGATCTACAGAGGCCCAACTATCCCCCCCCGCACCCCGAGCCAACTCTGGAGGTAAAAGGACAGTTTTGACAAATAATGTATACAAGGGCAGTTCCAAATCCATGTGCTCATACATTATGGACTGAATGTTGTGTCCTCCCAAAATTCCTATGTTGAACACCCATGTGATGGTATTTGAAGGTGGGGCCTTTGGAAGATAATTAGATTCAGATGAGGTCATGAGGGTGGCACCCCTATGACGGGATGAGTGCCCTTAGAGGACAAAACACCAGGAATCTTTTACCAAGAACGTACACCAAGGAAAGGCCAAGTGAACACAGCGAGGAGGTGTGTCTGCCAGCCAGGAAGCGGGCCCCTGCCAGACGCTGAATCCGTTGGCAACTTGATCTTGGACTGTCCAGCCTCCAGAACTAAGAAAATCAAACGCCTGTTGTTTAAGTCACACAGTATACGCTTGTTACAGCAGCCTGCACTGACTAAGACACCATGTTAACAGAGTTTCCTTCCTTGGACCACAGTTCCTCAAACACGGCAGAGCATTCTTTCTGAACCTTCAGTGGTTTCACAGAGGGAAATCGCCCCTTCGACACCAAGCTCACCCCCACCCCCACCTTTCATCTTACTGCAGGTGACTCACCCAACAGAAGTTATATTTAACACCCTTTGCAATGCCTGGCATATGTGATCACCAGAAGGCCTAATAATCCGACCTCAAAGTTACAGAGAATAGTGAGAGGCGCTGAAAGAAAACGGAAACTCTGCACTTCCATACTGCAATTCTCTAAACTCAAAGTCAGTCCGTTCTTGCATTCAGGGCTGTTGAGGGAATGTTTAAAAATCATGTTTTTATTACATGTAAGTAAAGTTTAAGAACTATTTGTGAATAGGAAGGTTAAAAAGAGTTTTCTGGACTTGCGGAGCAATGGGAACAGATCAGACATAGAGCCATGAGGGCTCCCTGGAAAGAGAGGGCGGGACGGCTGCTCCGAGGGTCCTCCTGTGGGAAGTGCACTCGGAGGCCAGTGTCTGGGCCTGTGCTCTTATTCCCATGACAATAGCTAACTATTTAAGGGACAGCTGCTGCCCAAAGTGACCAAACACGTTTTTTCCCTTTGGAAGATTTCAGCCTTGAGTACAGAGATACAAAAAATGGAGGTAGTTGGAGCTGAGTCACCTTAATAATTTCCACTCGAGAAAACATCTGCAAACTCCTGCCACAGGTCTTCCGCGACGACCTGATGACGGATGGGATCTTGCTAATCTGGTACCTCCGTCAATTCTGTGCGCTACCAAGTATCCCAGTGTCCTCATGAATGGTTCTACCATAAAAGTAAGTTGTTTTATCCACCCTGGACAATTAGTTTAAGGGACAATGGAAGCATTCATTGGAGAAAAAAAAAAAAAAGTCAAGAAACAAGGCTAAATGTATTTACTAAATAAACATGCCCATGACAATATGATGTTAAAAAAACACTCAACAATGTTTAGTGGTCTGTGTGTGTGTGTGTGTGTGAACACATTAGTCTATCTGTGTAAGCCCAGGAATGCTTATAATGTGACAACCATCCTATTAATAGTGGACATTTTAGTGTTCGAGAAACTTGTGGAGCAACTGTGTCCACAATGTTTGGGAGCGGGGGCGACACCACGACTTCTATCCTGTTTAATTTTGTACTGTTTGCACTTAACTACACATGTGTATAATTTATACATTTAGGATTTATAAAATCTGAGACAGATTTTTTGAAGAGTGGGCGAGAGCCAGGATGTGGGGTTTCCCATGGCATATGCCAGCAGAGCCACAGCAGAACCCTGGGCAGTGAATACACAGACATCCTGGCACAGAGTGTTCAACCAGCCAGGGGGTGTTCTCTGCCAGGTCTTTAAGAAACACACTATTTTGAAATACTTTCAGACTTATAGAAAAGTCACAGACATAGTACAAAGAATTCCTGTATACCTTCTGCCTAGATTTCCCACACAAACTTCTGTTTTCCCCTCCATGAATGGTTTAATTAAGTTGAAAGTATGATGCCCCTTTTCCCCTTACAGTTTGATTTTCTAAAAACTATGACATCTCCTTGTTTTCCTGATCCAGGATCTTACCCAGATTCACACATAGCGTTCAATAATCTCTTTAGGCTCTGAAATATTTTTCCTAGTCCTTCTCTTTTATGACCTTGGCATTTTTGAAAATACTGTAGGC